ATATAATATAAATTTTTCATGTAGCTTTATTTAAAATTACGTGCTGAAAAAGATCCAGGTAGTACATGGAGTAGAAATGTTAAACCAACAGCTGGTGGTGTTGATCGATTTGTTACAAAAAAGGATATATCCGATGATATAGATTCAAGTGCTTCTGCTGTTGAAAAACAACAAGAAGCATCAGGTCCATATCAAAGTATCTTACAATGGAACCTTTTGTACTGTCTACCGAGAAGATTAACCATGTTCGGGTCAAATTACCACTTTCACCGTTAAACTTACAAATTTAACATATTATGTTCTCATAGAAAGTTTGGCCTGAAATTTTCGATTTGTAAGATATTCACAATTTTGGTATGTAAATATAATAATATGAAAACTATTCATATTCAATGTTTTACATAATGATGAGATTTTCAAGATAGTACACTTTTAGAGTCTTGTTGAAATCTATCTATCATATTAGGACCACTCGAGATTCAGATTCTTATGTAAGTTTACCGATACCAAAGTGGGAGGAACGTCGACAATTTTATATAAAAATTCGTAGATTATCAGAAGTTTTGACTGCATTTCATATGAAAACAATAGATTTACTACAAACAGAGATGAAAAACTTCAATCCAAAGGTAATAACAAAAGTTTTTTTTGCACCACACACACATAAAGAGCGTTCGCTCTTCATAGTTAATAGTGGAGTAATAAAGATTATAAAATTTAAAGCAAATATTTTGTAGTTTATCAATCTCGCCCATTGTTTCTTTGATTATTTTAGCTTGTACAAATCCAGACTTAATAAGAGTTTGAAATTGAGAAGCACACAGTTGATTGTGAATAGCAGAGTGCATACTTAGGAAATATTGACGATCGGTTATAGTGATTTCTGTTCAATTGATATGAATATAATGCTCTATTTTCTTATGAAAAAAAACTCCATGAACGAAATAAACACACTACTGGTTGAAAATGACCAGTTGAACTTTCAGGAAAAATTAATAGTTGACTATCTTGATTTGAGAATACTGCCCTAAATTTTTTTAGACACTTGAATTTTCTACGAATCAAACAAAAGAAGAAATTTTCTACCAACTGATGAGCGTAGAACTTCATTTAAGAAAATGCGATGTTTTTCATTGCTGCTTTTTCCAGATTTTAAAGCTTGTACTACGACATCTGGTGGTATAATTAAATCTTGTTACATTCTCTTACCAAATTTATTTTCTTTTTCCTGTAGAATCAATAAGAATTTGTCTAATAATTGACTAACAGCTGATGTTATAGGCTATACTGTATAACCGTGCGTAACATTACTTTTATTTTTAACAGCAACTTCTGTTGTTTTCACCCATGAAGGATAGAGTTCCTGGAGCAATTTATCCTTGTTGAAATGAACAATGATCACTATTCAAAATTTCATGAGATGAATAATTCGAAATCAAAGATCTTTGATCCTATTTTGGACATCTAAAAAACAGATATATTTTATATTGAGATAACTTTAATTACTTTCCCAGCTGCAAGCTTTTCTGGTTCAGAAGGGTTCAGTGAAAGTTTCTTTTAATTGTATTTGTAACAACAACTGTACCTCTATTGTGTTTTTCACTTGATTCTCACTTCCGATTTTAATTTGTCATAGGAAGAATTTTATATTTTTCTGAGTTCTGATTTATACTGTAACATTTATGTCTAGTTGTTTTACCTCTGAAAAATTGAATAAATTATTGCACAAAGCTAAGAGTATGAAACTATTGGTGTTGTAGAAAAACTAATACAGTTAACACAGATACAGGATCAGAACAATATCCGTGACCATGATAATAATGAGTCACGACGATCGTGTCAAGCACTATGGGTGCAAGACCGAGGTTGCAAGTGTCACCCCTATATGCTTCAACAGTTTTTTTTAGATCGTGTTTTACAAAATGCTTAACTTCAAACTCAGAAACCATGTAAAATTTCAATCGAAATCTATAGGTTTCAGTACATCTAATAATTCTTTCAAGCCAAAACTATACTAATCTTCTACCCAGAAACTTCTCTATCATTCATGATTTCCGAATAGTTCCTAATATACATAGGAGTGACAATTTATCTATTTAAATTCACTCGATTATTCTTTTTAGTACTATAAAATAACTGTCCCATATCTTATCTATTGTTTTGTTTCATAAAAGAACTAGCTCGTTCTTTTTTTCTTCGCATCATTATTTGATATTCATGTGTATTTTTTTATCCCACTTCTTTTCCATCCTTATTATACCTTTACCGAACTATATTTATGTACATATAAATATACGTAAAAGCATATCAAAGTTTTATTTTCTTGAGATAGTCGAATAAGTTAATTTAAGAATGTCAACAAATACTTCTGTTTTTTCATCAACATCATTTTTTCAATCAGATCTATGGCTTTTTACTATCTATATGTTTGCAACATATGAAATTGTTTTTTGGTTATGTAATGGTTTTTTAATTTATATTGAAATGTTTGATATTCCATCAATTGATCAATATCGTATACAAAAACATAAGAAAAAAATACGTTTTCAACCTGATATGGTTCATTTAATGATTAAACGAACAATCTATCATCAAATGTCTTTAGTTTTTCTTGGACCAATTCTTTATTATATTTTCAATTATGTGTGTCACGTCGATATACAAGGACCACGACCACCATGGTCGACTATTCTTTTTCAAATTGGTCTTTTTATTGTTATACAAGATACAATTTTCTTTTGGTCACATTACTTATTACATACACCGTGGTTATATAAAAATATACATAAGAAACATCATGTTTATAAACAACCAACAGGTGTAACTGCTATTTTAGATGATCCAATTGAAGGTATAATAAATCAAATCGCTGTTTGGTTTACACTAGTACTATTGAAAGAAACTCATATATTTACATTATGTCTTTGGGTTGCTATTAAACTTTATCAAATAGTTATGGCCCATTCTGGATATAATTTTCCATATATTACTACACAATATTGGTTACCAGATCTTATGCCAGGTGCTTTAGCACATGATTATCATCATCAACATAGTAATTCGAATTATGGCTCATTTTTTTCTATATGGGATCAGTTGATGGGTACACATCGACTTTCAACAAGTAAAAAACAAATTAATTAATCATATTAACTTTTATCAGTTATAAGAACAAAAAGGTTCATATTGTATTATTATTTGTTTGAGAAGTTTTTGATTGATGAGCATTGAAAAATGTTATAGACACATATGCATACCAATATTATTATTTAACCATTATATTGTAATGTACATACTTATATATTTTCCTTTCTTTCTAAAATTCTATTTTTTGAAATGCACTACAAAGTGAAGAAAAATGTACACTCCAGCAAATAAATAAATAAATATAAATGTATATTAAAGAGACAATTGAAACTAATGATCATAGTATTTAATAAATAGGTCATTATTATTACTAACTTTTTTCTTTGTTTTGTTTTTCTTTCTTTATTTTCTTCTTACTCATTTTCAATACCAGCAAAGAATACAAAAACTATCTCAATGACAAAAATACTCTATGTTTTTTTTTTCTTGTTTATAAGAAAAGAATCAAATTTTTAAGGTCGACATTAATACTTACATTACCTATTTAACTACCAGTCATTTTCTTTTTCTTCTCCTCCGCCACCTCCTCCTTAGTTTTCTTTGCCTTATGTTATTAATCCTATTTTAATTTTATTCTTATATTGAATCATAATAATCGATGATTCACATAGAACAAGCATTCTCGCTGCATGCTTTTTACTAAAAAAGGAAAAATAATGATGACTAATAGTCATGACAAATGAAAAAAATAATTTATCGTATATTTTCTAGATATATAGTCAGTTCAGAAGTTTCACATTCTATCAAAATGTCTTCATCATTTTCTTCTTATCGAAATCGAAATTCTAGTCGATCGAATACTATCGATGATGATGGTTCAAAAGATCTTAAAAGTAATATACGTGAAAGTCGTTGGATTCAACCTGAACAATGGCAATCACCTGAAGTTGAAGAAAAATTTCAGAGAGTAAAAAAAGATTCTAATATATTTTATTTTAATAAACATTTAATTTTATTTATTTTTAAGGGTACCATTGATTTTTCTGAAGTACTTGGTATGCTTCAACAACTTGGTGTTAAAGTTCAAAAATTTGAATTAGATAAAATTCTTGCAAACCATGATAAAAATAAAGATGGTAAATTAACTAAAGATGAATTTGAAGATGTAAGAAAATTTTAATTTTCATAGATATTT